TAAGAACTTGTATTAAACATTTTCAATATTTATAAACTAAATCGAGATCGTAGAACAGTCGACATTAAAAAAAATGATCATCAGTGAATCAGTACGATTACATTTTCCTTTTTTTATTCCTTCAGGGAAATTAATTCCGACAAAGTGAATCACCATTTCAACTTGATAAACTGAAGTAGTGTTTATTTTATTTTCAATAAAAGACATGATACAGCTAGACTGGTTTTTTGTCATTGTGCGAACGTTTTATTTATTTATATGCCTAATAGTTGATAATTTTCGACTCTAGTTGGAAATAAATCATAACCTAAAAAATATAATCGTTATGTCGGTATATTTTTTAAATATTTATTTGTTTGTAATTTGTAAAGTTATAGCAGAAAAGGCCCCAAGAAACTCTCTCCCCGATATCCAGCAAATTTCCGAATCCTTAAAATAAGTCCTTCAATGTCGCCCAAAATTTACAAATTTACATACACTATGCTAATTTATTGAAAAAGGTTTTATTGAGGTGAAAAAAACAGTCAGAAAATATTTTGAGTTATTAGAATTTGTGTTACTGGGTAATCTAGAACAGCATATTAAATCTACTATCTTTTAAGAAAGCTTCCGAATTCGACCTTATTGCTGTTTCAATGGATTAAGGAGACACCATTTTACTATAAGGTGGCCGCAACGATTTAGGCGTTGACACGCCGCTCATAACTGTAAGGTAAAGGTCCCGGGTTCGAATCCAGCGGTCCTGCATTCGAACCGTCATACTTACAAATGGGCTTTTATTTCAAAAACACCGGCACCCTGAGGTAAAAAAAGTCTCGAAAATAAGGAGTTCTAAGCAGTTCTGCACAATTACCTCTTTCTGCGAGGAACAGGTTTTTGATCGAGTTTGGCATCAGGGTTTACTCTGCAAACTGAAGGGCAACCAAAAAATGCTTTATTGAAAGACGCAAATCCTATCTGATTGATAGATACTTTAGAGTTTGAGGTGGATCTTCTTCCTATCCTTAGCATAGGGACGATGTAGGAGTTCCACAGGGTAGCTTCCTGAGTCCGTTGATATACACATTGCACACTACCGATATCTCTTCTCATTCTGACACTACCATACGCACATAAGCTGATATCATTTTATCATCAAATCCCGATTGACAACACATCTAAATTATCCCTTGTCAACAAAAGACTGTGTACCAATTTACCAAAACCTATACGGACCTACAGCATTGAACTATGACGTTCAACTAAACCTTTCAACCTCAATTGAATCCAGACCTCACATATTGTTAACGTACCATTCTATGTGTCAAATAGCACTGTAGACAATGACTTCAACTTTCTATTAAGACTGTGCGAGATTTAGTTGTATAAGATTTCACCAATAATCCTACTTAAATGCACATAGTGCGCAATTTTCCACACGGGCAATTCCTGACAATACTCCTAGATCTCAAAAGGCAATGGTCCACAACCTGCTATCACATAAATTTTTTCATAAAACGTGTGCTATCACTGTATCGTGTATCTTTAATGGGGAAATAAATTTTATAAAAAATTTATCACTTTTCCAAATTCCTCTTGAGTTTGGTGGCAAATGGGAAAATATTTGTGAAAAGCTAAACTATTTAAAACATTTTGATTTGAAGCAATTATGATTCACCGGATCATTAACAACAGCTTATAAGTTAAGACCAATTCTTGGTATATTGTTAACATTAATTTATTTTTTAAGTTTGTACATGCATCTCTTCAGATTATAATAAAACTGTTTTGATTTGCATAAATTACGCGATAAAACGTAAAAATTACGTAAAGAATGATAGCTGTCGAGTTCAATCAGGTATTTCAGAAATTATCCGAATTTTATTCACGTTCGATTGGTCAGCTGAATTAATAATAGAGGACAAAAGTACGAAAAAAAAATGGGAGGATGCATGATAATTTAGAGTAGGAGGTTCTTTGGAAAATAAGAAAATTAGTATAAAGTTTTAAAAATTAAATTAATAGAAAATATATAAATACAACCATTTGATTTTATCACCGCTTAGCTCCAGTTTTTGTGTAAATAATACTCTACACCTCGACAACGATTTTTATTTGTTAACAATAAAGACGATATCCTCGTCATAAAATTCTCATTTTCTATTTATGAGAAAATATTATTTCAACTAAATGAATATCAAAATTAACCCAGGCTTTAAACAAACTTTTCACTTCTTTTACAAAGTCCTACGTGATTTGGTACGCATTGCAGCAGGATAATAATGTAAGATAAAGGAATAATAACGATAATAAGAATTAGTGTTATTTAAAAACTTGTAAGGTGTTGCTGATAATTACAGGAAATATTAGATACCTTTTAATTCATAATTGAATCAGCGACTTTTCACGGCAAGGGAAAAAATCAGCCGAGTAGCAAAAACTGTAATAGACTAAACTGTATTAAAAGCTTTATATACAACATAATATTTATGAAATTATCGCTTAATATATAATATGCTCAATATAGTGAATTTACCTCATTCATCGAGCTGAATTTAAATAATTCATTCTTCTATCCAATTATTGTAAAATGAAAATATTTATTATACAATTAATTAAGGTTTTAGTTGAGATGAAAAAAGGTTAATGGCACGAGAGGGATTCAAACCCACGACCTTCGGCTAGATACGCCGCTGCTCTACCACCTGAGCTATCGTGACCTCGATCCACTCGGACGTCAACTCCCCATCTCAACCTCACCTTATGAGTTTTCCCTCCTTTTGCCATTTTTCATTCGAATCCCTCTCGTGCCATTAACCTTTTTTCATCTCAACTAAAACCTTTATTAATTGTAATGATTTAATTGGTCAAGTGGACCACGAAATTAGTGAATATTTATTATATTTTGTCAACATATTTCTGTTGAAAAACAAATGAAGATTTATACCCTTTGGTGGCTATCATTCCAAATCGTCATTGTCCAGGGTTATTTGACGTCAGATTAAATCACTCATCCCCTTTTCACTCCCCCCGACAACTGCATAAATTTGTTGGATTTCTATAGGTTCGGTTTTGAAAGGGGCTTTTCTATTTTTTTTTCTTCATCTTCCTAGTCCTGTAAAGAGCAGGGCTTGCACGTTTATTTTTTTTACATTTAGTTTCTATCGAAAAATTCTTGTCCCTTTCTTAAATCACCTCCTAGGTCATCAATCTGCTTTAATCTAGGCTTTCCGTGTATTTCTTTTTTTAGTTTATCCTAGCAGTACATCAAGATGTTGAGAGTATTTAATACTGAGCACTCTTTTTGGTTTGTTTTGTATGCTTTCCCCCTTTCTTTTTTCTGTTTATACAATGTATACCGTAGGTAAAATTATGTTTACAAAACAAGGTAGTTTAATTTAGTAGATCGAGGTTCGTCGCTCTGAGTGAGTAATTTTTAACATTCTCCATCACTCTCTCTCTCTCTATCCATCTATCTATCTATCTCTATCTAAGGATCTATCCGTCTCTCTCTCTTTCTCTCTCTCTCTCTCTCTCTCTCTCTCTCTCTATCTATCTATCTATCTATCTATCTATCTATCTATCTATCTATCTATCTATCTATCTATCTATCTATCCATCCATCCATCTATCTATCTATCTCTATCTAAGGATCTATCCGTCTATCTCTCTCTCTCTCACTCTCTCTCACTCTCTCTCTCTCTCTCTCTCTCTCTCTCTATCTATCTATCTATCTATCTATCTATCTATCTACCTATCTATGTATCTATCTATCTATCCATCTATCTAGCTATCTATCTAACCATTCATCTATACATCCATCTATCTATATATCTCACTCGCTAAAAAATATTATATATATATATATATATATATATAAAGACAGTACGTATAAAAATAAATAATATATTGAATTAATCAATACATACAATGACACTCAACTGGGTCCGCCTATTCTCTGGTGCATATTTCACGTTTCGCTTTTCGGCTTAACTTTCTGTTTCTATGGATTCTATAGTCCTAGGAGAAAGCAAAAATAACATAATATAAGTAATCAGTAAATATAAGTGTAAGTATATAATGAAAATATAAGTAAGTACTAAAGAAACAAAGCCCTTTCTCCTTTTGCGAAATGGCTTAAAATGAAATCTAATATTTTTGGAATACATTGTACTTATTGAATTAGCTCACAATTTTGGTTTTTTAATATTTCAAAAACTAATGGCTATTGCCTAATATCACGTAAAATCAAAATCAGGAGTTCAGCGGGCATACAAAATTAATATATTTTCTTCTTTTATGCATGAAAGTATTCACTATCATATTCCTTAAAAAAAAACTATAAAAAATTGTCAAGCACACGCACATAAAACGAGAAAAAGAGAGTGAGAGGAGGAGAAAGAGAGAGAGAGAGAGAGAGAGAGAGAGAAGGAGAGAGAGAGAGAGAGAGAGAGAGAGAGAGAGAAATAGAAAGAGAGTGACAGAGATAAATTGATCAAAAGATAATGATACAAAGGTTGAAAGAGAGAAAAAGAGAGTAGGAGAAAGAAAAAGATAAAACGTTATCAGTGGAGACGAGAGATATATAGAGAGAGTATATGTCATCGGTAAAAAATGGCATTGTAATAATGCATCAGGCGTAATGTAATTTAATTCTCATACTAAAATCAAATAGTAAACATGTAGGAATCAGAACAGATCTATTACTACGTAATTTTGTTTTTATTATTCATAAATTGAGTTCCTAGGCGTACCTTATATATTAAAAAAAAAAATTCAACGTATTGTAAAAATGTAAATAGTCACGAATATGAAAGCATATTTCATTATTACTGGAGAAATTTAGTGCGACCATTGTCAAACGTGGTTGACAAAAACGTCACTTCAAAATCCACCCCTCATATTAAGGCTCTACAGCTTGGTATAAAATAAACGTTCATCCCTCACGATTCTACGAAGAAGTGGGAGTTAGAGCCGGTAGAGGGGAAAGTGGCAATGCGTTAGCATAAAGAGAAGGGACTGAGGTAACGAGCTACCAGTTGTCAAATAACCATGTGTACGACGTCCACGTGTAATTGTGAACCCCGGCTGGCGCCCGGTTTCGAAAGTGTACCCAGGGTACGACTTGTACATCCTGCCCACATTCCAAAATTCGGACTACAGCCGAACTTCCAACCCGACCTATTGGCTGCTGTTACGGCAAAACATAAGCATATGCTTGACTACGTGAAAGGCCTTGTTTCCCGCATATCACAAAATAACACAATTAAGTGAGTTTTTTTATAAGTTGATAAATGATAATGAACGGATTTTCTCTTATGGTTAGTTAGATATTAAGAGATTACCATTAAAATTTAATTGTTTTGTCCTAAAAAATAATAAATAATTTAGAACTTATCTTTATGACTTATAGCTCGACCTGTTCAACTTTACAGACACTGTATATTAAATTTTTAATTAAAATAAAATACTTTTAATTGGGTTATTGAAGCTAGTTTTTGAATTTAATTAATTTTTGACAAATATTAATGCTCTTGCGTTGTCGATTTTACACATGAGGTATTAGATTCTTAAACAAATCTAGTTTCAATAATATCTAATCTTACAAAATTTACCCTAAAATCTATGAAAATTATGTTCTATAGAAAAAAATAAATTTATTGATTTCAGTACCCATGTCAAAAATCCAATATTACAAATTGTTTTAAAAATTGTGATGGACTCCCTGCAGTTTGCAATGCCAAAAACATATTTGGCACCAACGAACGTCACGTTTCTGTTTATTTTTCAATAGTCCCTTATATACTTAATTTTATCACCGAGGTTAGTCCAAGATTATTCAGAGTTTACGTGAGATAAGTGATGCTTGCGTCAATTTGTTATGTGAATTCAACGGGAAGGCCGGTTTAATAACTGTACGCGACGGCTTTTCCAAAAAAATCTGTGTCAGATGAGGAGAAAATTCAATCGTATCTAGAAATGAAGAGAAAGTATTAAAAATTGGAATAGTAAGGATGCGCACAAACCGATTTGTCAGTGAAATATACTATCATTATTGATAGCAATTTTTGCCAACGTTAACATAGTTTAACAGAGATAAAGTTTAATTTTATAACTTTGAACACGTTTAACCTCTATTGACAATGTATCTGGTTTATTCAACAAAGATAGTTCCATGAGAAAAAAAAGTCCAGTGTGGTTGTAAATAAATTTTTAGCTGGGAAAATTCGTTGTCCCAATGTCAACGTGTCCGAGTTTGTGTGTATGTAGTGATAAAGTACACCCACAGCATTTAAGATAAGCTTATTAAAATATTTCTTTAAATTACTGCTTTGTTTTATAGATTATCATTGTAATCGGTGCAATAGCATTGAAAAGACTAAAAAACTTGAAATAAAATAAGCTGATAGAAGAGTAAAAATTCCCGATATATTTGATGTTTTATATTCGCTCTCATGATCTCGGTCAAATGTTAGATTGCCAGATAGACAAAATTTAGTCGCAAATTAAAAAACTATTTCTGCCTCTTAATTTTGGCGTAAGATAATTTGAGATTACCTTGTTTACATGGCAGTACGTACTATAAAAAAAAAAAAAATAATCAATCGAACACGACATACTTACATGGCTTATATGGCATAAGCCTTACATACTTATATGGCTTTTTTTGCAAAACCACTGACACCCCGAGGGTTGATATGACCACCGCTATTGCAAACTCTTGTAAAGAATAAATAAATAAGAAAAAATTGTAAGGTCATTTTACTATTGAATATCCGTTAAATTTCCTTTCTAAAATATTAATTATATTCTTAACCTTTCTGTTTCTTCTTCTTGTTTGAAGTATCATGTTTCGAATTCCCGCATTCTAAAGATTAATAAGAACCATTTGCCAAAATTTATAAATAATCTCCTTATCGTCTGCTTCAAACTAATGATTAATTAACCTTTAGTGATTATTACGCGATTAGTAGATTCTTTAAACTTATTTTAACGACCTATACTGTTAGAAGGTCTAGTGGGCACGCATGTGTCCCGGACGTTGGGTGATAATCTCTTCAAAAGGTCCCCCTATCTACACCCTAATGTCATATTTATTATCACAATAAAAGCTGATTGTGAGTGATAACGTTGAAATTTCAATTATTTCAGATATATAGATTAGCTTAGATCTGACCCATTTTTTAATATGAGAATCAACACGAAAACCAGTGTAAAAAACGAAATACAATTTATCCTTTCAAATTCCAGAATAAATACGTAAAAACGCTTGGCGTCTAGATTGGTTTAATAAGCTTAAAAGATTCAAACAGGAAAACTAACAATTCCACAAAGGTAATTGACCTTTTATACGCAAATTGGGCCTAGAATATGTAAAAAATATTTCATAATTATTCAACTCTAATAAAAGACAAGTAGAACAGCATATAAAAAAATCAAATATATTTGTTACTGATCAAATTCCAGTAAAAAATTTATATTTTGCCATGAATTTAATATTATTGTTAAATTATGCTGGCTGGTCTCCAATTTACAATAAATAGCCTTCTAATCAACTTTAGTCTTTTTATTTTCGCCTTTCTCCCAGATTCAGAACGTACTATGCATACGGAAAGGAATGTCTTTGAACATTCAAAAATTTTCATGAAATCTAAGCAACCACCACTTTATTTAGATATGTCCTTTATCTGAGTACGTAAACCAGATACCCTTCACTACATAATATTTTGTAGGATATTGTTAATTATATCAACAATTAACAAGAATTTGATATCAAAAAACCGTTAAACACTGACTTGTATCAGGTCTTTCTTCGAAGAATTCAGCACAATCCTTTTTTCGTTTTATTCTTTAAATAAATTAATAAATTAAGTGATTTTATTCATTGGCAGCACAATTTTAACTTCACAAATGCCACACTAACACAGCACATGCTTTTCTTCCTAAGATCTTTTCAATATTACATGATGTTTGATACTTACTTTTTTTTTACTTTTACTATTTTATTATTAATTAATTTTGTGACCTTGTGTTTTCACATTAGCCATGAACATGGAAGAGAAAAGAAAATGCCAAGAGAAGGGATGAGGGCAGACATATATTTATTTTGCTTTTATTGTCTATTGCGCAACGGCAATCCACCATAGAACTTTTTTGCTGAAATGCAGACAACACAAGGTATTTCCTACTCAACAATTTTAACTTCACAAATGCCACACTAACACAGCCAAACACCAGAATTAACGACATACATAAAGCCACAATAAATTTCAAACGAAATATTAGAAATAACACATAAAAACAATGAACATAGAACTCACCACGAGCATCAAAAACATTAAGACATTAACACAAAAATTACACCAATTAAAACTCAGTGCCGCCAACATAATACCTACAGACATTTTAAAAGAATTTTACACACATCAAAAAGATGCATACAACGTCCACTTTGACCAAATTAAAAACAAACCCATCAAAAAATTAAATAACTTAATCAACAAACAAACACCTGCTAACACAAACAAATGGTTCCTAAACCTAACCAAAACTAACATTCCTCCAGAAATCCAGAACTTCCTATCACTTGGTCCCAAACATTCCATTCCTTACAACAACACTGATTTTCCAATAGCTAAATTAATTACGGATGTAGACTATGCAATCCAAAAATCCACAAAAACAGAGGAAGAAAAGGTCATAACACGATCGAAATGCATTAACACAATAACAAATCACTTACAACACCTCACTACACATCAACACAGCCTATCTCAACAAACATAACCAAAACCAAAAATTTTCTCAAAAATAATCCTGACATACTCATTCTTTCTGCTGATAGGACCAAACAAACAGTACCAATCAGCAAAAAAGAGTACAAGGAAAAAATTGACAAAATTATCACAGACACAAACACATACAGCATAATCAAATCAGACCCTACTCTCTCATCAAACAGACAAACAAAATTCTTCATGAAACACTTAAACGAAAAGAAATTGACATATACACCTATATCAAAACAACTCACCAACACCAAAACTATATGGATCTGTAAAAACACACAAACCTGAACACCCTCTAAGACCCATAATTTCATTTGTAAACTCACCCACATATAACATGACAAAATATCTAACCAACATACTCAACAACATCACAGATAACACATACAATGTAAATGATTCATTTCATTTCATAAACAAAATTAATAATATCCACATCCCCTCACACTACTCTCTCATATCCCTAGATGTTTCATCACTGTTTACCAACATTCCAATAGACACAACACTAAACATTATTAAAGATAAATGGCCCAACATAACACCACACACAACTCTATCAAAGAACACATTCGTAACAATGATCCTACACTGCTGTGTTAACGGATATTTTACATACGACCATCAATTTTACAAACAACTATTTGGTATAGCCATGGGTAGCAACCTAGGCCCGATACTGGCAGACATAATTATGACACATCTATTAAATACAGTCATACCACAACTTCCTTTCACATTACCCTTCCTCACTAAATACGTAGATGATATATTGACAGCAGTTCCTACAGATCAAATTCAAACTACATTAGATACATTTAATTGCTTTCACCCACGCCTACAATTTACACATGAAATCGAAAACAACAAAAAGATACCATTTTTAGATACACCCCTAATAAGATGGCACATGTCGAATAATTTTATTTTTATTAAAAATAATTTTGACTGCCTTTTCAAAGCCTGAATTATTTTTGCACCAGCCCAACAGATGTTCTTTTTGTAAACATATTCGCGGACTTGTAAAGTGTTGCAGTTGTTAAAAGTCTTTAATTTAATATGACTGTCTTGACTCGTATCCTTATCGTGCTTATGTTTTTGATAATTTCAATAAAAGAATGAAATGTTTAATTAAACAGTTGGTTCACATCGGCGGTGCTGGTGATCGTTATGATAATTCCTTAGATAGTTGGTTTAATTCAATCACGATCCAGGATGAAATTGGTGGCGCTTGTTTTTGTTTGGAAATTGCTTAATGTGTCTGTCCAGAATTGTTGGATTTCATGGGTACCACATACCTGAAAATAGGACTAGTATTTGGTGCCCTTTGGTCAAAAAATATCTTTTTGCATCTTGCTGTTCGTAGTAAATTTCCGAATCTGTAGACATTCACAACATCCGTAATTGAAAACGTAAAGAACAAAACAATCAGGGTCAATACTAACTTTGTTATATTTTTATATTGGTTTGCTTTTTATTAT